GAAGGAATACAAAAGGAAAGCCAGAAGGTATTTCCCCCTCTCTTCCTCACAGCTGCTTCCTGCCTCTGTGTTGCATATAGCACATCAAGGCCTGAAGACAAAAGGAGACATGGGCAATGTGAGACCTGTTGTCATTCCCTTGACCGGTAGTTCCCAACCTTGTGTTCTCAGATATTCTTGGACTAAAAATCAAAAAAGCCTTCATCACTAGTTGTGCTGGCCAGGATTTATGGGAGTTCTAGTCCAAAAACATCTGGGGCCTCAATGTTGAGAACCACTGCCCTAAAGGGAAACTTTTACAAGTCTCAAAATAAATCTCTGTGTCAAAGCTATATATCTAAGACATTGGTCTCCATTTTTATACCTTCAGTTGTGGGCAACTGCAGCTTGTGATTAGGGTGGGAATGACTCTGAAATTTTGGAGTGAAGAGCTCCCTTCTGGTCCACAAATGGCTGCTGGCTGTGACTCTAGCACTTTATGTCCTATCATATCATGTGTGTTATTGTATAATGATATTATTTAGAGTCACCATGACTGTTGCTTCTGGTTTTACTGAGAAGAAGCTGTGTTAAAAGGACTGGTGGACAATCTGACAATATTAATCAGGGCAGTGAAAAGACATGACTTGGAGTATGAATGGTGGTCATAAGAGCTCTTTTACAGAAGGCACCTTAAAATGGCTTCCCAGTAATACAATTAAACTGTTTGGTCTCACAACTAATAAAGAGAACAGCAGACACAGACAGCTATACATGCCTTGGGCTATTGAGCCTGTCAGGTCTCATCAGATAAGAAAAGCTGTTCCTCGCCTGTACTCAAAACATTGAACAAGGCAAAAGAAATTCTAGATTTGGTAGAAAACAGTTCCTTAGACACTTAGAAGTGATGCTCCTAAGAATAACTGAAAGTGTTTAGGAATGCTGTCTCACAATTATGAGAGTCCACTCTCAAACATGGAACTCTGATATTTAAATATAGTGTCCAGTGTACTTGTGTGAATTAGCTAGGAATATTTGGCTGCCAGTTCGATTAGAACAGAAAGTTACCCTTTACTCGAGAATAAGCTAAATCTATACTATATGGAGAAATATGTATCTACCCTGCTTCCCTGAAAATAAGACAGGGTCTTATTAATTTTTGCTCCAAAAACCACAGTAGGCCTTATTTTCAGGGATTTTTTTCCCATGTACAACAATCTATATTTGTTCAAATACAGTCGTGCCATCTTCTTCTGGTTGCTGCACAATGGTGGAGGTCAGGGTTTCACTTAACTAGGGCTTATTTTTGGGGTAGGGATTATATTACAAGCATCCTGAAAAATCATACAAGGGCTTATTTTCAGGTTAGGTCTTATTTTCAGGAAAACAGAGTATACGGCAACTCGTTAATCAAAGTGGGGTTTTTTTTGTTTGTTTGTTTTTGCCTTACAAAAATAATTACCTTTCTTCACACTTGCAGCACAGCATCCTGCCAGTAGAGGGCAATGTTCACGGAAAGGAAGTTCAGATACAGGAAGTCGATGCAAAGGTTGTGTATAGCATTTCCTTTTTCTGGAAGGTTTTGTTTTGTACTAAAAGCTTAGTGGAAAATTCACTGTCATTCACTCACATACATTTGCCTTTTGTTCAATGCCTCTGATATTAAAAATTAGGCAGCACTTGTTTGAGTATCAGGAAGAATGAGGAGACCTGGGATCTGATCAGTGGATGCTACAGGGTGTCCTCATGCAGGTTACTTGACTGCCCTAACCTATATCAAAAGGTTGTGCTGGATATACGCCAGTCCAAATTCCTTGGAAGAAGAATGAAATGTAAATGCCATAATACGTTGTTCTAATCTAAGGGCCACGTGGCATGTTTGAATTCCACAGTTTGAGTCCCATTTTAAATATGTGCTTTAAAGATTCTCAAGATTCTCCCCTTCTCAGTTTACTGAGGCTTTGAAGAACTTTTGAATCACTGACACTTTTCTGACAAACAGTTGATTTGTGAGCAAATGCAGGATCTTGTTAATGTCAAGAGAATCCCACCTGAGATGCCAGCTTACAAGGAGCCATATTTTTGTGATACAAAGAATAATGCAACATAGCAGCATCAGTCTTGTGATTTATGTGAATTCTCAGTCCTCCTAACCATTAAATCAACCAAACCTTAGGAAAGGGAGTATGGTGTATTTGTTTTTCCCTCTGGTGTCAACATAACCAGCAATACCATCTGTCTAGCATCAGCCCTAATCTGTTATTTAGAGGAAAGTACACAAAGCAATGTATTGAAATTAATAATATGTCTCTGCCACTTATATTTAGCTCATACGAATTAGAGGATCAAGATGTCTATAACGCAAAACCTCACTGAATAATGTAGACACTGTAGCCCTATTAAGGTATTATTAAAGTATGTGTTCTCTACATGCAAAGAGAGATAGAACATTTAACATTTGAAGTTCTAGCTTGCATGAAGAGCCTCCAGAGATAGGATCTCCTCTTCAGAACTGTCACTTTTGTGTGAGGAAAAGAAGCAAGAGGAGACAGGACTAGACCACTTCCTTCATGCATTTGAATATAACGGACATTTCAATAGGACCTGAACAGGGCTAATGCCTTGTGTTTCAAAGACACATTCATCTTACATTATTCAAAGTACTTTGGGTGATTATAATGCCTAACTGATGGGGTGTACCCCTGAGCTCTTCAACAACTACTGCACATATTTCTGGATCTTAAATTTATTTTACTTCAACAATTTTATCTAGTGATTGTAGCCCCCAACATACTCTCAAGCACAATGACTTTTAATAACTCATTTTTCTGACAATAATCCAATATTAGCATTTTACTTCAACAATTTTATCTAGTGATTATAGCCCCCAACATACTCTCAAGGACAATGACTTTTAATAACTCATTTTTTCTGACAATAATCAAATATTAGTTCCAAAAATTCTGTGTGCTCATAAATATTCACCTGCTTCTGCTCTAACAATAAACTGTTTCCTTTCCAGTACATACCACTGCAAACAAGTGATAACTTGCATCCATGTTGACATTGTTTCGACTGTGTTGTCAATCTCTTGACAGTAAAAGAGCAGGCATAGTCAGAAAATGATATTAAGCTGAAGGAGAGAAAAGGTGCAACTAGACGGGAATTTGTCCCGCTGTTTGGTCTGGTCTGGGGATGGGTGGCTCACTCCTTTTTCTACCAATCACACAACATACATGTCATCATGAACCAGCCCCCCCCCATGTGTGCCTACTCACAAATTTTTGGGTTACTTTCAGGGACGTGGTGGCGCTGCGGGTTAAACTGCAGAAGCCTCTGTGCTGCAAGGTCAGAAGACCAGCAGTCTTAAGATCGAATCCATGAAACGGAGTGAGCTCCCGTCGCTTGTCCCAGCTCCTGCCAACCTAGCAATTCGAAAGCATGTAAAAATGCAAGTAGATAAATAGGTACCACCATGGTGGGAAAGTAAATGTGTTCCGTGTCTAGTCGCACTTGCCACCTGACCACAGAAACTGTCTTTGGACAAACATTGGCTCTACAGCTTGGAAATGGGGGTGAGCACCATGCCCTAGAGTTGGACACAACTGGACTAAATGTCAACGGGAACTTTTATACCTTTACCTTCAGTGGGTACCTTTTTAGGAGCTTGGTAGAATCATTTTGTTTTGGTTCAGTTCCAGCATGTGTAGTCACTTAAGATTAAACCAATGCGGATGACGACAAGAAAGCCTCCTCATTTGCTTCTCCGTGGAGGTGGAAAGAGAGGAAGTGAAATTTGGTTTGTTTTTTAAAAAGCCTTCTTAGGCAGCACTGTGTCTTTAGGGAAAGGAAGCCCCATGTGTTTTAGGGAAAGAAAGAAAGCTTCCTCCTGGAAGTAGGAAATAAAGGGGACATTTTTGTTATTTCTTTTCACACACACACACACACACACATTCAGAGAGGAAGGAGAATGTAGGGTTGCTTGAGGTATAATGTGGATTTCCTACCATGGAAAAATTTCACCAAGTGGCATACTGCACCTGTAAGAGACCTGAACTGACCCTATTTAGCCCAGCTGAACCTGCTTCAGTGTAGCCGTCTTGATGCACTCACATTTGAGGAGGAGAGATGACTTAATCACAATGACTTTTTCATTCAGCAATTGTTCCCTCAGTATCATGAAATGTATTCACTGAAACAGAAGACTTGCTTGAGGAAGGTTTTTTAAAATGTGAGAACAGTGTGTGCAGCACTGCCTACTAATTTCATCAAAAGTTATCTTTAACCGCTTTGTAGTGGCCTTTGTATATCCGTATTATAATAATAATCACGTGTCATCAAGTCAATTCTGACTTATTGTAACCCTTTTCAGGGTTTTCCAAATAGAGAATATTCAGAAGTGGTTCATCTTTCCCTTCTTCTGGAAGCACTCTGAGGCTGTGCAGCTTGTCCAAGGCTACACAGACTGGTTCTACTCACAGGAAGCACAGTGGGGAATTGAACTCCCAACCTCTTCTTCCACAGCCGGATACATAGACCATTAAGCTATTCAGCCAGCGTAACTGTGTTCTGCCAAGTCAGTTCCAACTTATGACTATGGAAACAAACATGTCTCCTTTATTTTATTAGTAGTACTGGTAGTAGTATTTAAAGGCAACATGACAGTTGGCTCTTAGCTGATGCCTAGAGCAGATAAAACCACACAAAATAATTTTGATTCCTAAAGTACACAAGAACCCTCTGAAATACAACATACTACAAAAGTGTGCCACAGTTATACTGTTATAATTATTCTCCTTTATTATCACTCTTCATTTTGTAAAAAGGAGGCAAGAGTCACATGTAACGCTAATTGGCACATTTGCTTTATTTATTTATTTTTTAAAAACAAACGGGGGTTGTATCCTCATTCTGTGTTTTTCTTTTTTTCTCTTTTTTGCTTTGTCTTGTCTTGTCTCCTATAGTTCATTCCATCATCACATCAAAAAAGGGAGAAAAGAAAAATGTTTGTTCTCTCTCTCTTTTTTTTTTTCTCCTTAACTCATTCAAGAGATTTGGACTCCTCAGATGAACGTAACATTGCACACACACTTGGAACAGAGAGAAAGAGAGGGGGGAGAGGGAAAGGCGGAGAAAGAGAGAGAGAAAGAGAGAGCGCACTCATGATGGGCAGACAAACACACACACGCGCAGATCAAACAATTCTGATACAGTGCAAGAATTTTCCCAAAATGATTGGATCATCGTTACCAAAAAACTCGCCATAACAACACCAAGAAACAAAATGTTTAAGCCACACTGTTTGACTGGGATTTTTCCTGCTTTTTTTTTCTTTAAATGTTTGCCACAGAAAGAGAAAGGGGGTTCAGTAGGTGAAGAAGGGGGGGGGGACAAGGAGGACAGACAGACTCACAGGTGTGAGTGGGAGAGGGTCAGATTGGAACAAGGAAGGGAGGGAAGATACAGGAAAAAGGAGGGAGGGCAGGGCAACAGGGAGTCATTTCTTAATGTTCAGGCATTTTCTTGGTCCGCCTTGCTTTCATCATCTTTCACTTCTTCCTGCTGGGCACTTTCAGAAGATTTGGTTTCTTCTACAGCATCTAGAAAGGGCAAAACACAACATGGTGAGGAAGTGTATAGACTCAGGTTATTGGTTAACTGGAATGCAGAGTTTTAGGTGGATCAGAAGACTCTTCACCCTGACGGCCGTTTCTAAAGTTTTCACTTTTTGTACTTGGGTGCCTCTTTTTCTCTCAGATTTCATGCCTACTTCCTTACCTTTTCTAAGCATAATCAGCAATGAAATGAAGATTTTTAGAGAAGTTGACCATTTGTGGGGATTAATATGGGCATGATAGTTATATTGACTTAATTAAGTAAGCTCAACAAAATTAAGCAGTTAGAACAGGAGCTGTCCAAAAACAGAAGAAAAAGAAGGAGGAGAAATCAGAGAGAGAAATAAACTGGTAATCTGAGTTGTCTTTCTGCAAGCAGGCAAAGACCTTTCTGTTCAGGCAGGCTTTCCTTTAATAACTGATGGTGCAAGAGGGGTTTTTTTAATGGATTGTTGTGCTCTGTTGTTTTAAATGTGTTTTAGTATTGATTTTATTACCTTTTTAAATGTAATACTTATTTAATTGTTTTTTTAATATTTGCATACCTACTATTTTTCGCTTTTAAATATTGTGATGTAAGCTGCCTTGGGTTCTTTTTATGGAGAAAGGAGGGATAAAAATATTTTAAATAATAGAATTTAAATAATTTAAATGGAATCTCATCAGAGGATCCACACAATATGACATTAAAGTGTGGGAAACTTAAAATTATATCAAAATTATATCAGCATAAAATTTACAGCTCCTCTAATCTAATCTACCCATTGATCTACTGTTGTTGTTTTTATGTGCCATTAAGTCAAAACCTATCTATAGTGACCTTAATAGGCTTTCAAGGTAAGTGAGATATTTATGGAGTGGTTTTACCAGTTCCACACATCCCAGTGAGTTTCTATGGCGGAATTTGAATTCAGGCCTCCTGAGTCTTGGTCTATCATTCTATCCACTGTACTATACTATCTTAGTCCACTCTTGAATGTTGAATTCATCAACGTCAATTCACCAGGTCCTAAATGCAGGGGAATTTTAATAAAATAGGTCCCTTGAATATATAGAATTTACCATATAAAGACAGACCAAACGTCTTCATATAGTCAAATATGATGCCATTGGACTGCATGGCTTTCAGTTCTTGAAAAGATGGTCTGCCATCTGTATCTGTTTTGCTGTTGTTGCACATAGAGTTTCGAATCACACAGATCTCTGATCTGAACCAGGAAGGCTCTTCTGCTTTTCTGGGTTAACATGTTTCCCACATGTTTACTTGTCCTGACAGAAATTTATTTGTTTGTTTGTTTGTTTATTCATTTGTTTGTTTGTTTGTTAGATTTCTTCCCCCCCGACACCATCTACTCGGGATGGCTTACAAATATCATAAAATATCATAAAATATCATGAACGTTAAACAATTGAATCAATAATATAGTGTATTCAAGATGGGGAATGACAGAAAACAAGAAGATAGAATTCAAGAATTAACAGAAGGAAAGGCCTGCCTAAAGAGCCAAGTCTTTAAATGGCTCTTAAAAACACCCAGAGAGGGTGCCAGGCAGATCTCTGTTGGAAGGCTGTTCCATAGTCGAGGGGTCACTGCCGAGAAGGCCTGGAACTATGAATAAATTGCAAAAGAAGGTGTTGGTTCTGACTTGTTTCCATTCAAAACAGCATAATAATCTACATGTACATTCATTCATATCTGTTTTGCCTTCTCTATTGGAATATATAGAACTCTGTACTCGCGAAGGCTTTCACGGCCAGGATCTAATGGTTGTTGTGGGTTTTTCGGGCTTCTTGGCCATGTTCTGAACATGGCCAGGAAGCCCAAAAAACCCACAACAACCATATAGAACTCTACTTTTTTCCCTTGCCTCTGGTACCATTATCAAAACACAAACAGCCTGATTGAAGATGAGCACAAACTTGGCTCCCTCAAGTAAATTAGATTTAGTGAGTTTCAAAGCACCAACACTTTCTTTTCATCAGAATATCAGTAAGCAATTCATTGTGCTGCGATGTAGATGAAGAGGTTGTGGATAGGTATAAATTGGCATGATTTCATAAAGACATCTGCTTCTCAGTGCACTATATATTTCCTCCAAAGGGCCTCCATCAGTAAATAATGTGTTGTGAATAAATAGAGGCTTGGCTGCTATAAAACTAAGCCAAGCAGGAGAGGAAGGGCAGGATTCTCAGCTGTCTTCACAAACACTTTTTGCTAATGGCTTGTAGGCTCAGCCTGAAGTCCATCTACTGCCCTACATTGGTGAAATTAGGTTGAGTGGATTTCCGGGTAAAACACAGTCTTCTGGGACCTGCCCAGCTCTCATTTGACTTGCCAGGATTAATTAAATTTGAGCAGACAGCAACTTAGAGCCAGTGGCTTTGAGGGATTTGGTTTGGTTTTATTTTTGTGGGATCTTTAAATGATCAACCACAGAGCCAGTGGAAATAAATCATATCAACACTGTGGATTCCACACAACAGCTTCAGGAGATTTGTTTTTTACTCTTCTCATAGTTACTGTCGACATTGTTCACTCAGAACCAAGCATTACAATCCTCCTGATATTCAGATCCACCACTTGATTGGCTTGTGTCCATCTTGGCCATTACTCTGACCATTAAGAAGGCAGAACATCACCATTATCTCTGTATTTACAATATACTCATCAAATCAGTGGCCAAAATCCTGTCACTTAGTTACCTCCATTAGTTATACTTATTTGAAAGGCAAATGGCATAACTTGTAGCTACTTCTCACTGGCAATTAAAGACAGTCTACTTGGATCTCAGGTATGCAGCAACCCAAGCAAGGACTTATTAACAGCCAGCAGAAAGCTACTGCGAGTTATGTCGCTTGCCTTCTGCAGGCATAACTATGCAACAGTATTTTGGTCAATGTTGTTTATATAACGTTGGTTTTACTGTACTGCTGTAACTGGAGCAGTCTTGCAGTGGCTGGCATATGTTAAACAACATTAAATTCAGTAAAATAGCTGACACTAAAAAGAAAGCAGGACAAAATCCTGCTGAGCAATAGGAACTTTCCATTTAGCCAAATGCTTTCACAGAAAGGAAGATTTTAACAGCCACTTTAAATTAGATCATCAAAGTAGTCAAATGAGCCTCTGTTGGCTCAGTATTCCACAGAAATGGCTACAAACAGAGCTACATAAACCTTCCAAATGCAGTGATATCTTTGTCCAAAAGATATTACAGCTGAGATGGCAGAGAAGAGGCATATGGAAGAACCTACACTTTCATATGTCCCAATACCATGTTTGAATCCTGCTTAGAAAACCATTTCCTGCACCTTTGCAGTGTAAGACTGATTTGTTTATGACTTGAAGAAAAGTCCCAATGAAAAGACTTTTCCCTATGAGGACATTCTTATCTTACAGATGGGATGGCCTGCAGCTTGATAATAGAATATATGATATCAAGGGTGGCAATGTTATATAAATACTACTGTATGTTATTTTCTGTCAGTAGCAGAGGAGTCTGTCAAAATTCTTCATGCTTAGAGAGCATTATACAACTAGCCACAGTTTGTACAACTGGGTCAACTGGACATTGGCCTGATTCTAATTCCTTAAATAGAAGCAGTGGGCAAATATGAGCCATACATCTCTTAAAATCTGGACTGTTACAAACCTGTGCCTTCATATGGACAATCTTTATCACTGTGAATACATAATTCAGACTATGACGGAAATTTAAACAAAAGCTTAAATGGAGCACGTTTATGAAGAAATTCAGAGCCCTGTCAGGTGGAGAGCACATGCTATTTGGCTGCTCCTCTATGAGGACTGCTTTTTATTAGCAGCTATTCCATTTAGCTGCATCTGAGGGGATGAGGAGAAGGAAGGCAGGATGCTTTCCCCCATTAACTCAGCTGGGTCAGCAGAGTGTGATTCTTCCTGTCCCAGAATTAACTCCTGCACTGCCTATCCCACAAGTCATTTTGCAACATCATTGTGTAAACCATATGAATGAACTAATACCTTTATTTGCTTACTTTATTATTCATTCATATTAGAAAATGAAAAAACATATTGAAGATTTGACAGTAGAAATTTTATATATATTTATATATAAATGTACAGTATAAATAAAATGAAATAAAATAAAATAAAATAAAATGAAAACATGAACATGAAACAAAAACAAAAAAAAATGGAAGGCAATGCCTTCAATAATACAACTGGATTACTAGGGAATAAAAGGACCACTGTAGACTAATTGCACTTCAGGTATCCAGTATCTGATTATTCTTCTAATTATATTTGCCAGAATCTGAGTATTTGACATGGGTCATTGCTATTCCCCCCGCCCAAGTTGTTCTCCAGTATACCAATTTTCTGCAGTCTAATACAAGGGGAAGCTCTTTGTAGTGTCCTGGGAGATGCTTGCTGTTTTCTGACCCAATTAGCTGGCCTTCAAATCCATTGAAGCAACCACCTTCCTGCTTCCTCATTCTGAAAAGATGTGGGCTCTGCTTGGGTTCCTTTCCCCGCCCCGTCACTTCTCATGACAGCCGGTAGAACAGAAACTCCATCTTATGCTGTGTGTATATGTGCCTGGGTGCATGTGCGCACACATATGCACAAACATATAATAACGGGAAAGGAAGAGGGAGGAGATATGGGGTGTGTGCTTTTGTATGTAGCAGGTAGCAAGGGGGAAATTAGAATCAGGGTTCCATCGCAAGGCATCTCTCACAGTGTCTAGACACCAGCTGCCTGGTTGCCATGGAAACCCTCCAACTTTGGCTGATGGGCAAACGCAGTAATGTCTCTCCAGAGAAATCACTCAAGGGGGGAGAAAGAGACTGGGAGGAAGAGAGTGAGAGAGAGAGAGAGAGAGAGACAGGGTGCAGAGAGAGACAGGTACAAAGGGAAAAGAGAGAGGAGAAAAGGGAAGAGAGAGAGAGAGAGAGAGAGAGAGACGCCCTTTGTGAATGCAGCGTCTCAACCCTGCTACAAC